ATAATTCTGAAAAATAATGTGAAAATTCTGAATTAAAGTATATCTAAAGAAATATTCTAAATAATTTTATGCGTAGAATTCTCGTTAATTATTTCAAGAAATGTAAAAAAAAATGAACAAAAATAAACAAAAAATTAAAAAAAATTTTGAATAAAAAAAATTTTTTTTTTTTTGACAATGGAAACTTGGGACACTTTCTCACACACACATATATCAAATGTTGATATGATATCTATAAATTTCAACGAATATTTTAATAAATTCAAAAGAGAAATGATGCGACACATTGCGAAAAGAATATCTGTGAGAAGAGAGACGATCTTCTATTATAAATCATAAGGATGATTATGTTAAAGTCCACTAGGGCCAGCTCATTAGTTCGCGAAATCGTCCAATTTCTCTTTTTATCTCGTCTCTTCCCAAGGCTATCTAGTCGGAAGGGGGTAATGGGGGGGCGAGACGAACGGCGTAGAAAACAATTTGGACGTCCCATTTGAGACCTGGGTAGTGCCTTAATTAGTTTTACCATAGCAGATTACCAATCAGCAATTCAGCAATTACGATACGGTGATTTTTCAACCTACCGTAATATTCGAAATCCTTTATGATAAAGGAGGAGGATATCAATATACAAAAATGCATTTTTCCGCTTGTTCGACATCGCTTGATTGAAAATGTAGAAATATTAATTCCACAAATTTATTTTTGTTTTTGCTGCATATATTTCACGATGAAAATTGATAATAAAGCAAAAAGAAATATAAAACAGATATATCTTTTAAAAATATAATTAAATGAAATAAATCTTTGTCTAGATATAAAATAATATCTTATTAGAAAATTAATAAAGCAAAAAACGTAATAATTATTATCTCTTTTAATAATTTACCAGCGAGTGTATAATAAAGACTGTATAATAATAATATTATTAACAATAATGTAACTGCTTGAGTAATTCGTTAAAATATGGAATTGTCCGAAAAGTGGATCGCTTTTTCAATTCGATACAATTAAAGAGAGAATCTATCTATCCACGTGGAAACAAGAAAAGGAAGCAACCTATTCAATTTCAGCAAATTTCTCTCTTCCCTTCTTCTCCTTAAGCCAATCCTTCGAAGGAAACTGTTAAATCTATTACGGCTGTAAAGCTCGATCACGATCACGTCCCGTGAAGAGGGTCGAGGATCGAGTCTCAAGCGGCGAGTTGCGTTTTAGTAAGAAGGGGGGGTTAAAAAGGAGAGACAGAGAAGTGTGTTTTGTAGTTTCGGTGGACCTGGTCGCAGGTAGGCGGTGAGTGGACCCTGAAATCACTCGAAAAATGAGGGGGTACACAGGCCCCCGCAAGATTTCTTTTTTCTTGTTCGGACGCGATATAATCGTTTGTCCTCTCATAGAGGGTGGACGTGGAAGAATGGCGGTGAAAGGGATGAAAACTGTGCGTAGCAGTTTTGTGTCTCTCCATAACTTTTTCAGTTTGATAATTCCATTCTGTCACCGCTGATATCCACCGTCGACGTGCACGCGTCAATCCTTTTAATATATCTAAAATTAACATTTATATATGCTAATAAAATATTAATTTATAATAAATTACATTCTTCATTTATTTATGAAAACGTGGAAATAATTTCTATTAATATGAAGATAATTCGTGTTAACATTAATCGTGTCTTTATTTTTTAAATGCTTTTTACGATCCTCGCACCAGAATCCTAGATATCCGAAGTAATATTTTTCGCCATAAATTTATTTTCAGCACACACATTAACATTTCTATAATAGAATCCTATAACCTCTATAGAAACCTGATTAAATGAAGTTATAATAGAATGCCTGATCAAATTATATTAAATTGCTTGTCAATTTAATTTGTGATATTACAGTCAGTTGCGTTTCTAAGGGCTGATTGCACCAACGTTAGTTTGACTTTAAGCGAAGCTTAACATTCTCTCTTTCTTTTTTTAAAGCCGATAGAGAGACAGAAAGAAAAAGTTTTAAGCCTCGCTCAAAAACGTGAGTGCAATCGGACTGAAGTCCAAAATATCAATTCGATGCGCAGTTCACATGATTACATAGTTACACACACATATATGTAATATATAAATTTACATGGAAATTTTTTAAGTATCTAAGATCCAGCTTTGATCGTTATATTTTAACTCTTACTTGTAATATATTCACACGATACGATCTTAATAAATCGTTTATTTATCTCTCTAAATTTTTTGGAGTAAAATTTTTACTCTAATCTTGGAGTCACTGACCAGTTCACTCTATGTGGAGTAAAATATTCATTTTGTACTCCTGTACAGATAAAGTAATTAGATATTTCAAGACTTAGTCAAAAAATATCTTTATGATTAGATTACAAAACATGCTCTCTCTGAGAAAAGTCACTCTTTTTAGAGTTAAAGAATAAATCTAAATGAACAGTAAACATTTTCACTCTTTTGAAAAGTGAAATTTCGATTTTTCCATTTTGATTGGTGGTATTTTCATGAATATTTGGAATGACTTTTCACTCCAAAAAAATGAGATTTCACTCCAAGAAATTTAGAGAGATTGTTAATGCTTTTTTTGTATTTATTTTTTGTACACAAATGCATACACACACACACACACACACACACACACACACACACACACACACACACACATTCACACTAATCAAGTTATTATAAAGTTATTTTTTTATTAGTATTTTAGCAAATTATATTGATAACATGTGTTATATATAGACAATATTAAATCTAAAATAAGACCTTCTATCAAAATGAGACCTTAATTTGAGTTTTCGAAAAGATCTATAGTTTTAATTGTAAAACTTGACAACATTTTATGAAAACGTGCAAAGTGTGATGTAAGTAAAGCGGAAAATTCAATATCGAGTTATTTTTATATGATGAATATTATACTATCTTTCTCTTTATATGCGTTAAATGTGCTTTTGGAAAATTTTTTGAGAAAAGTATAGATAAAAATTAAGATAAAGTAACAAGTCAGAATAACAGACTTTATGAAAGCCCTTATCTGTAGAATATCCATCTTGGAAACGAAGAGTCGCTAAGACGACGATGCTTAATACATTTCGTTATCGGAATATTAACGTATCTCTTCAAATATAGATATGTACAAAGAAAGTGATGGTACTTGGATAAGTACAAATAAGAACACAGAGAATATACATTTTTTATTCATCAGTATTACGTATGATTATCGAATTTAAAAAGGGGATTTTTTAATACATATAATTTGTGATAAAATAATCCCTGCAATATTTTTTTGATTAATCAGAATCTATATAACTCCTTATCGTTTTGTTAAATTACTCAGAAATCAAAGAGTACATTTTTACAACTAATTTTACTTTATTTTAAGTATCTTAAGATTCTTAAGAAATGGAGATCTTTAATTACATATGAAATATATATTACATATGTATATTATATATATAAATTTGTTTATATATTTAATATATTATCATATATAATCTTAAAAGAATTGCTACTTACAAAGAACTATATTTAAAACGAGAATCTAGGTCTATCTTTTCAAGATTTTTACACTCGTACAATGTCTCTACTTATTCCTAAGAATACATCATAAAAATGATTATCAGCATTCGAGGAGAATTAAAAGGATAAAAAGTGAAAAATAGAAAGTGAATAATATCTCTTCTAATTGATTAGAGAAAGTCAGTCTCAAATCGTTAAATGTGCAGATCAGTTCCATCTCTGTACAAATCAGTTCTATCTCCGAGTTCTAATCTTAGCGAGCTATCTATAGTATAAAGTAGTATAGTAAAACCTTGGAATATCGAGTTATTTTTACTTGACGAGTATTATATTATCTTTCTCTTTATGTGCATTAAATGTGCCTTTGGAAAATTTTTTGAGAAAAGTTCATAAAAATTAATATCTTTGATGATTTGTTAACTCTCACACAGTCGCTGGGAGCTGTTTGTTGCTGTCGTTGCTATTCATCGCATCTATCTGATCTGAAGTCTTTGACGTTTTATCTATTGCGTCTGTTTCTTGATTCTTCTCTAGATCGACGTAATATATGTACCACGCGGCGTAACAGAGCACCATCATCTCGATTAGCATCAGCGCGTTGCATGTCACTGAAATTGAGAAGAGGAAAATTATATAAAGCGACATTATCACTTGTATTACATTTAAATTAACCTATTTAATGAAAGAATTTATTATCATTGTGAAACGTTCTAAAAAATTTATATTAATTTTAACTATTGTAAATACCTATTTATATTGTTCTAAATATATATTAAAAAGGATAATGGATTTATAAGATAGTTTGAAAATATATTCTACGACTTGAAAATTATTTTAGCGGAATTGATAAATTAAGCGGAATTATAATAATTATATCAATATTAAGTATAAAATATTAATATATAATAAAATGTAAAATATTCTGCAACAATAATATGTAAAAGTGGTCTTTTTTGACAACTATATGCTGTCTCATGTTAGTTTGGGAAATTTATTCATAACACATAACTAGTAAATTGTTATGGTGCTCACGGATGCTGCATGACGTCTCTTTTTTCAGTGAAACGAGTTTTTTTGTTATAGTTAGTCATAGTAGGAGCAGTGAAAAGTACAGGCGTATTCTAAATTTAGAGTTGAATGATCATACTGTTTAAAGAAACTACTGGACCGTAAAATCGTTCTTTTATCGGTCTCTCAAAGCATGATATAATATAAAATTTAATAATAAATAGTATATAAATAACATAATTATACAATTCTAGCAGCTTAT